TCGATTGAGGATAATTTGCGGGACTTTAACTTCGGTTTGTTCGCAGGTGGAGGTATTTTTGTCAGAGTGGAGTAGTTTAATTTCACATGGGCTGTCTTCTTGGATTCCGTGAATGTCCTCTTTCCCACAAATATGGAACTTTGGAATAATTTCTCGACATTTCTGGCCATAGTATGTGTAGTGCAATTTATTTTTCAGCAATAATTTACTTCGCGGTAAGACTTAAGGTTGACTCTGAGAAAGGATTGGAATCTAGTATAAATAATTAAAGTAATCAAAGATTTCCGAATACATTATTGGTATATGTATTACGTATGTTATTCTATTATTAAAAACAAAAGATTCCAGATCGATTAATTTCTCAAAAAGTGGAGTATTTTCCAAAGTGTCCGCTAGGGGCATTTGTTCAGAACTTAAACGCTGTTGTAGATTGTTTAATTCATGATAAATGTCTTCAGTATACTTGGATGCATAATTTCCAATTTTGAGAAAGTTAAGGAATTTTCTATATCTTGTAGAGTCAATTATCTCATATTGACTATTTGATTTATTATGTCTTGGATATAGAGGGAATTTTCTCTATGCTACCTTCTGTACCATGTGTGCAATTTGGTTATATTGATTCTAGAAGCTTTTCGTTGTGATTTATTTGTTTAATAGTTTGGTTAAATTTTTTGATTACTGTTAGAGGAAGCGAGTTTTGTTTCAGAACATTTTCTTGTATTTTGAAATTGTAACGTTCTCCGTCAGATGCATCCAGGTTGTGTCGATTAATTTTTTCAAATATCTTTTAATTCTAATCGAGGGCCATTTAAAATTTTTCCTTATCACTTCGCAGATTGGTTCATATTATCTGGGTTCTCAAAGTAAGCATAGTTTAATTTACCTGGCATAATTTAATTGTAACATTTTCAAAATAATTTTCCGATATTTGAACTAAAAATCTTCTCTTCTTTTTAAATAAAATTAGTCGTTTGGTTTTGGCAGGTGAGTTCGATTCGATTCGAAATATTGCCGGTTTCTTTGGCGTGTAATTCAATACGGCTTAGGGCGTCTGCATTTGTATTAAGTTTACCTTTTTTATACATAATTTGATAATCAAACTCTTGTAGTTTGATTCGCCAACGTACCATTTTCGATGTGGGATCTTCTAAATTGACAAGCCATTGCAATGGCTTATGGTCCGTTAATGATATTGAATTTGTGTCCGTAAAGGTACGACCGGAAGTATTTCGTCGCCCAGATAAGACACAGGTACTCCTTTTCAATAGTGGAATAAGTTTCTTCTGAATCATTCAAGGTGCGAGATGCGTAGGCTATAGGCAAATCTTGTCCAATGGGCCCTTGCGACAACACAGTACCTAGGGCTACGTTACTAGCATCACATGTTAAGTTAAATGTCTTCGTAGAGTCTGGGTATTGTAGTGTAGGTTCATCTACAAGCAATTTTTTGCAATTTTCAATACATTCGATAATTTCTTGGTTGTGTTCAATCTTTGCGCCTTTCTTCAAGCATTTCGTGGGGGGTTTCGTGATTTTTGCAAAATTATCTATAAAACGTCTATAATTATTCAAGTAGTCCGAGAAAGCCTTTAATTTGTTTTGTATATAGTTCTTTGAATTTGGTAACTCTTAATGGCTTTGATTTTGTCTGGATTTGGTTGGGGAATTCACTTTTGTCCAATTGAATTTTGAAATTGGTTTCATGTAATCTTTAGAAAACCAATTTGAGTCGTTTTAAGGTTTAAAGTCAACCCCTATTTTCTGAACCTTGTGTTCAAAAATTCCAAAAAAAATATATGTTTTATGGTTATTGATAAACTTTAATCCATATTTTTTTTAAGCAAATTTGACTCGCCATTTTTGAGTTATATCGTAAAAACTGAAAAAAAAGTAGTTTTTCACCATTTATTTCAAAACGAATAGATGAAGTTTCCAATTATTTTTATTACGAACTAGTCGAAACTACAACCCTGTTTATGTAACACAGAATAATACTTCGAATTTCCACCAAAAAAAGAAAAAACTTTCCATCACACAATTTAACCAAATGAAGATTTCTATTTTTTTTTGACTATCAAGATAGGGCACACTGTAGGGGTGACAGCAGTGAGATCTCGCGTTGCTGTAATAAACTATAGGCCTGACTTTAAACCTTAAGTGCTTTTGTAGCGACGTGGAATATCGTCGAGGTATACAAGACATTATTCGTTCTAGGAATCTAGTAATATACTATCCACGGTCCTTTGGAAAGTTGCGAGGGCGTTCTTCAGCCCAAATGGCATACGCAGAAATTCGTAATCGCCGTTTTCCGTATTGAATGCGGTCTTATCCATGTCGTTTGTCTAATAGGTTGGTTATATTCGATAGGAGGTATCTGTCTGTTATGGTTTTCGCATTAGTGCCACGAAAATCTACTACTACTCTCTATTTCTGCTTACCAGAAGCATCCGCTTTCTTTGAAACCATCCAAATTGGCGATGACCAGGGAGAGTTGCTTGGGTGAATGATTTTTTGGCACAACATTTTTTTCATCTGTGATTCGACCCCTTTTTTTATGTATTAAAGGGTATCTATAGGTTTTACTGTATACAGGTCGTTAATCAGATGAAATATATTTAAGTATTCTTCACATAATTTGATGATTTTCGATTTTTTTTCTGCATTCAGATAATCGGTGCGAATTTGAGACCAGTCAAAATTGGGTTTGCAATCAAGTGAGTCTTCAAAATTTTTTAGATTAATTTTTTCCAATTCTTCTTGATTAAATGGTTCTACCTTAAATGGTTATGAAATATCAAGGGTTGTTGGCTTACAGGTGTTATTTAAAGCAAAGTAAAAGCATAACCATTTTTTCCTATACTCAGCGAGTTTGGAATTTCGCAGTTATGTATCCTCTGGTAGGGTATAATAACCTCACCGTCTTGTATATCAGTTTTAAGGAGAAAAAGTAACATTATATATTGATGTGTCAGTTTTATGGAACTGCACTGACCCATATTGTTGGTCAAAATTAGATGAATCGTACATGAGAATTCTGGGTCACTGTCCTGTCGTTAGTGTCAACACGAGGTTTGTTAACTTCATCAACTACGTTCGTATTATATAGCTCTTCAGCTATGAAATTACTAGGTTGGTTGGACTGCAAATAATTTCTAGAAGGTTGTTGAGTATTAGCATTGAAAGATTGTCTCGAAGTTGTTGACATAGGAGTAGGTTTTGGGAAAGTTCTATTTTGATTGGGTTTAAATAAATTTGTCGAGTTTGTGTTGGGTTTATTTTTGAATACTTGAGAATTGGTTAGGAATCTTTGAGGGACTTTGTTATAATTTGGTTTTACAACAGCAATAGGCTGAGATGGAAATGTTGGTTTAGCCGTAAATAAATTGTTAGGTGTTTGGCTATTAAATCCTGAGTTAAAATTTGTGTTCCTAAATTTTTTGCTTTATTCTATAGTAGGTATGGGTTTTTGTGTATAAGATTTAGAAAAATTCTGAAAATATTGAGTACTATAAGTGTTTTAAATTGGTACTAGGTTGCTACATTTTGGGTTCCCAAATTTAATTTCGCGTTATCGGTTAATTTACCGATTATCGCGTTCAGCAAATAAATGATCTAAAATCTGGTTGAGCAGTGTTATAAAAAGCATCAATGAGGCTTTGACATACTGATAAATATATGTCCAAATCATTCGGATTTCCGTCAAATTGTGGTACATAGCTTAGGTACTCTGGCTTAAAATGAGCCATATTGTTAGAGTTTAAATTCGGAACAATGCAAATGTTTTGATTATTGAAAGATGTGCACCGTTACTTTCAGAAAATATTTGATTATTTATTCTAATTAAATTATTCAATTTCTCAATTATTTCATCTCTGTCAGACATAAGTTAAATTGCACTTACAGACTGAATAAGAAGAATTTCATTGCTATAAGGCCCAGAGGTTTGGTTGGCAATATGGTCCGTCCAAATGGTTCTTGGTCCTTGCGAGATTTGGACAGTTTGTTTCCAAACTCCGATTACTCCGAGGTAACAGGCTCACGATAAACTGGGTGTTTCGAGCTCTAGAAAGCCACTCTGACACCTCACAGTAAAAAATTTAACGTAGATCTGTTTTTTTCCGGTTAGTTCGAATACCGTAAAACCGATAATCAGTCCCAAAAAAAACACGTTCTGTCTACTGCGCCAATTAACAAGTCAGAAATCGAGGGTAGGTTTTTCAAAAAATTAAATTAATAATAAAATTTTTACTCTTTAGTCGTATTTCGCATCATTGAACAGAAATGTCACAAAAGAGAATCAACCAAAAATAGATTCGATAACCATGATTTTTTGCTGATTCTGAAAGGCAATAGTTAACAAGTCAGAAACCGAGGGTAGTTTGTTGGAAAATGACTTTATTGACAATCCGAAATTATAACTAGCGAAATTACGTTACAATAAATGTTACAATTATAATTTATTTCAACTGACTGACTATCCTAGGAAAATACATCCCTATATGTACATATTTATAATAAACTGAAAAGCAGAATAGGCATTTTCAAATAGACGTGATATAACTCAGTTGAAAACTTGAATTCGAAATTAGTGCTGCGAACTTCGACTACAGAAAGATGGTTTTTCGATACAGAACAAAATTATTTTCACTTTTATGATTTGGTCAAAAGATTGCATCACGAATCAGACTTTTTGAAATTGCAAAAACAAATCCAACAAAAGTAAAACCCAATATAAGATTGCGTCTGCAATTTAAACTTTTATATCTAATTTAAGGAAGAGCAATTTAGATTCTGGTCGTATATTATTCATTCGCTCTGAATTTTAGCAGCACGAAAAATAAATTATCTAAAGATAAAAAGGAAAAAAATATACCGCAATCTAATTTTACAAAAAAATTGTTACAAACAAGCTATATGTTTGAAAACGAACTGTCCTCACTGATAAACTAGGTACTATATAACATAGGTACTTCCTGATGGTTAATTTAGTTTTAAAAGCAAATTAAGTACATACTATGATTCCTGTAATAAAGTCTTCTACAGTTTATTTCTTAATAACATTTTCTTCAATAGCACATGCGAGCATTTCAAACTTTGCTGAACTTTATAAGGAAATTAAAGATTTAATAAAGATATCTGAAACTTACAAGAGATTGGAAAATAATGATCAATATTTCGCCAATTTTGACAACAGTAAGGAGCCATTGGGTGAGTAAAAGTACAAATTCTGACAATAAACCTACAAACATTACTAATTTTTGTTGTAGATTATGGAACTTATGACTATATAATTGTCGGAGCTGGAACAGCGGGTGGTATTGTGGCCAATAGATTATCAGAAACCAGTTCTAGGGTCTTATTAGTCGAGGCAGGCCCTCGAGATCCGGATACTGTGGCAGTGCCAGCACTTTCCCCGTATTTTTTTAATTCACCCTGGGATTGGGGATATAATACGACTGGACACCAAATTTGTCTCGGTAATATTCGAAGATGTTTTATCATATAGATACTAAGTAAAAAAATGAAATTAGGAGGTTTCTCAAGATTTATATATTTATATATACTTATTCGAAAGAAAAGACAAGAGACCGGACAAGCGACATTTTGATCGCCTTCGATTGCCATGATACATTTTAGTAGACTTTTCATGGATGACCGTGCTTGTTGAATGCGCCGACGGATTTGAACCTCGCAGCCACCTGAATTGTCGATCATAGAACCGAGGAATACAAAACTCTGGACTACCTGACAACGCTCTACTGATGTTATTTCAGGATGATTTTCATGTTCCCTATCAACGAATTATGATTTTGGTCTTATTGTAGTTCGTACTGAGACCACATGCTGCACTATGTTGGTCTACGATGTTAAGTACCTAAGGGTAACAGTTCCTCCTGAGAAGAAGCAATACGAGTAGTATCGTCGGCAAATCTTATATCAGATATCCATTCCACAAAGAGTTACACCACCGTCCAGTACCTCTCCCATCACAAATTCGGAATAGATGTTTAACAACATCTGTAATAACACACATACCTGACAAATTTCTTTTCTTGTTGAAGTCTGAAGTCTGGTCAGACATATTACCATTAATTCTTGATTGATTGATTGATCGATTTGAAAGGGGAGCCTTCACAGACAGCACGTAGATGTGCATGTGGTCCATTGTGCTATCCCTCTCTTGGTTCAGCTCTGTCTTACCTTAGGAGCCCGCAACTGTTAAGAAAGGTGCAGACCCGCTCAGGCCGGACATGCTTTATTATTATCAGGTTCCAGGTAACTGTACCCGAGGTATCGTAGTCTGCGACCAACAAGGGCGTCACATTCGCAGACTATATGCTATATGCTTGATAGTTTCATCTGCTTCGCTGCAGAACCTAGATTCCGTCTCATGGCTGACTCCGATTTTGTGTAGGTGGTATCTGACCATCCAGTATCTCGTGAGGACGCCTGTGATGGCTGTTAGTTGACTCCTGTTTAATTTTAGGGAGCTTTTTGCCTTTTTGCAGTTTGAAGGACCTTGTATAAAGATCCTTGACTGTCTGAGGCCTTCCTGTTCCAGTCATTCGTCTTGGAACCAGTTGTTGGACTGGTTCCTGATCTTGGCTTTCACCAGGCAGAAAGCAACTTCAAGAACAGGCTCGGGCCTAATAGAGGCAGTTTTGCTACCTTCACGAGCCAGCTGGTCTGCCTCCTCGTTGCTCTTATTGCCCCTGTGACCCGGGACCCAAACAAGGGTGACCTTGCTGCGCCCACTGAGTAGCTTAAGGGTTGTTATACAGTCAAACGTGAGCCTTGAGTTGACCTTGTCTGAGCCAATGGCTCGGAGTGCTGCCTGGCTGTCGCTGCATATACATTCAGAACCGGCTTGAGAAAAAATTACAATATTTCCTACCCGGGGGTTTTTGGGAAGGCTCGATTTAGGGTCGCTTTTATAAGTAGAGTTTAAACTTCAGATTGAACTGCGGTTTAACCAAAAGTTTAAACCAATGTTTAAAATAAAATACCATCTTTTACGTCTGTCAGGAAAGTTCGGGAAAATTGGAATAATTACTGATGTCACATTATAAAGAAAAGGAAATTGTCTCTAACCTATGTTTTAAACATCAATTTTAAAATTTAAAAGTTGTTAGTTGTAGTTCTTACATTGAGTGGTTATTGTGTTGATCTGAAAAAATGTATTTGTTACAAAAAAGAAACCAAAATTTCTCGGAATAAGAAAGATACTCTAATTTTTTTTTTAAAGTTTTGATTATCCCAAAGTTCCAGATGATTTACCCGCTCCTGAATTATATTTGGTCTACGAGGTGTTTCGATAATATTTAAATTGTCTTCATCATCACTCAGAATATCACCAAAAACAAAGTATTGTGGTTTGGTTTCAACAACGCGAAAGATTTATTATTATATTTTATTCATTGATTTGTTTCCCAAAAATAGGGTTATAATTTTAGGATTGTAGTTTAAACCAACCCCCAACCAACAGTAAAGTTTAAACTTAGGATTGACGATTAACCCAAGTTGTAAAAGTGTCAATTTTATAAAACTGTAGTTTAAACTTAAGATTGGAGTTTAAGCCCTACTTGTAAAAGCGGCCCTTAATGGTGGTATTTGCAAGTTGCCAAGTTTACCGTTTCTTAAATGCCGTATGTAACTTGATTTTTCAAATGGATGCCCCTCTTTATTTTTATTGTAATTCATTCAGCGTCCCAACATTACTAGAGTAAAAATCAAACGAGAAGAAGCCACTGTCATTAGCGCTGACAAAGAAAGCAGATTTCCTTTTCTCTGGGTCCCTCCCATTTAAAGTGAGACAAACGATAACGCGTGTGGCTTTTTCTCGTTTGATTTCTACTCTAAAACCCTTAAATGCCAAAACTCCATTTTACTTGGTTTATGAAATATGGCAACCTAGATTTTTTGTTAAAATGTATGGAAACAGTCTCGTATTTCAGAAAAGACTTTAGCAAAATGGAGAATATTCCCTACCTGGGGGTTTTGCGGAATGTCCGATTCAATAGTGGTATTTGCAATGTTGCCAAGTTTACCGTTTATGAGATGCCGTATGTAACTTAATTTTTTTTAAAATGCATGCCCCTACGGGCAGTTACATATGACATCTTAGAAACGGTAAACTTGGCAACACTGCAAATACCACTATTGAATCGGGCATTCCTAAAAACCCCCAGGTACGGAATATTGTACATTTTGCTAAAGTCTTTTCTGAAATACGAGACTGTTTCCATACATTTCAACAAAAAATCTGTGGTGCCATATTTCAAAAACCAAGTAAAATGAAGTTTAGGGGTTTTAGTAATGTTGGGACGCTGAAATAATTACAATAAAAATAAAGAGCGGCATCCATTTAAAAAAATCAAGTTACCTACGACATTGGCAACATTGCAAATACCACCACTGAATCGGGCATTCCCAAGAACCCCTGGGTAGGAAATATTGTAATTTTTTCTCAAGCCGGTACGGAAATATCAGACCGTTTCCATACATAATGACAACCCTATAACCTCTCTGGAGATTCTCCTGCGAATAATCGCATTGAAAAGGAGTTAGCTGATCAATTAAAGGCAAGTTACAATTTAAGTGTGGGAAATAAAGGCCACCTAGTAAAAATTCAGACAGCTAAGGTTGAACTAGTTAAACTTAATGTTGAACTAGATAAACTTAAGGACCTTAACAATAAACTACTTAATGATACTTACTCGTTAACCAAAGAAAATATCAAATTTGCACAAAGCTTGAGCACAAATAGTGAACCTGTCGTAAGAACGTCCTTTGTTGAAAGAATTGATATCAGCCTTCAAACAGACATATCATACCTTAACCCATATCCAAAAAAATCAAACTCTTCAACTAAAACTAAAATTAACTCTCCAGCTAAAACCAACAATAAAAATCGTGTGTTACTCCTGTGTGACCAGATGGGCAGAGGACTTGATGTCAAATTGAACCAGATGCTGGATCATGATCAATTCATGGTGCAAAGTGTCATCAAACCTTTTGCTTGTATTCGCCGGATATAATGACTTTTGCTTCCACAAATCCCCTAACTGTTCATACTGTCACGATATCGTCCGCCAGACTGTCAAGAATCGACGGTGAAAATACTCGAATCTAGCGAATTATTCTACTATTATCGAGAAACAACATTATCGTGTGTGTTCTAGATTTTACAGGAATAGATTTAGGGATATATATAAGGACGGGTTTTAGCTTGCAAGTTAGGTTTGAGTTCGACTTTGATACGATTTAAATAGTGATTGTAAAGAGTTTAATTGTTGAGTTTGTTAATAAAGTAATTAGTGTCAGAGTGTTTTGTTAAGTGGAATAAATTATTGCTGTGTTAATTGGACTTTGATTTTTAGAATAAACGAAACGAACAACGAACCCAAGATTTTTGTCAGCAGGCAACCCAAAGCCGCGACAATACGTACTTAATAAATTAAAAGAATGTGTTCATATTAATGTCATTGTCTTGTCTGTTCCTATTCATTTTGAGTATGTTAATAAGTGTTATAATTTTAATGGTAAGCTAAGTAATTTATTGTATAATTTTGATAAATTTTCTTCTAACAAAGTATCATTCATAAATAGCTGCAACTTTTTGGGAAGAATTCTTACTAATCGTAGAATATCAGGACTAATACTTAACCAAATTAAATATTCAAACTCGAAAAATTTGACCTTTGTTACGCTCCAGGATAGTGTTGTCTATGCCAATGACGATTCGTCTATGGGAAGCAACAATATTCCGATCATATCAGATGTCTCACTTTCTCCATTGAATAATGGTTTTTATGAAAGTAATTCTTTGTCAGGTTCTCGATTGATTCTTCGCCCAATTTAGTTACTAATTCAAATTTTCAGCAGGAGTTAAACACAACCATACACTTTATTTTTTCCCAAGATAGATTTTGACATTGAAAACTTTGAAACATAAACAATAACGCTTGACCATGACTGGTCGCAAAATGAGGTGTTTCTGCAGGTTGACATCAGTTTTACAATAGCGACCAATAAGCGGCATTAGCGGCTTGTTTATGTTTCAAAGTTGACAATGCCAAAATCTATCTTGGAAAAAAATAAACTGTAGTTACCTAGACAATAATATTATGATTTTTTACCAAAATTGTAGGGGTGTGAAAACTAGGTTAGATGAACTTAAATATAATATGTTAAACAATGATTGTGAAATTGTGGCCTTAACTGAAACTTGGCTGAATGAAACAATTTATTCGGGGGAGTTTAATTTTAAGGACAGAACTACATTTAGAAAGGATAGAAATAGGATTGTGACCGGTAAATCTCAGGGGGGAGGAGTTCTGTTGGCTGTAAAAAGCAATTTTATTGTTGATGAGGCTAAGGTTTTTGACGATGATCAGGAAGCATTGTGCATTCGAATTAGACTGGATAGTAATCATCTTTTATATGTAGTTGTAGTATACATCACTCCCAACAGTCC